CCGACAACTGAGGTGGTCCCTTCCTATGTCTACCTCCTACTGTACCTTAGCCTTTTAGTACAGTCCACAGGGCCTTAAGGGCTTAGGCCAGCACCGTAAAAGTACCTTCCTGCCTCTTATTAGTGACTGGTGGTAAAGGGTGGGATTAGTGGCATGATGCCGTTTCGTGACATAGCTCTACTTCATGTAATCGGTGTTGACAATGGACGCAGCGAGTCGCCGTCGTTGTGGCCCTGGTAGTATGTAGTTTCGTCGTGGTAGACAGGCAGTCTCTACTTAGGTGTAGCTGGTCCACTCTCCACTGTTCCTCCGGTCCTTCCATCCTCAACTGGTCCTCCTGCTTCCCATGCCCCCCCCTCCTGGTCATCCTCCCCGGCTCGACAACAAACCCCAGTAGGCGCACCATCTCACACTCCCGGGGGTCGTCTAGCTGCTGGTTCGCAAGGTAGTGGCCGCGCTGCTATCTCTTTTCTCTTCGGCTTTCCTAGCCTCCAGCATCCCAGCAGCCCAGCAGCCCAGCAAGCCCAGGTGTCCAGGGCCTATCACCTTAGGAGTTAGCCTACCGTTCCGTCCGCACCTCTATTACCTACCTTGACTATCCTCCTCCACCATCCTAACCTCTAACCTCCTAACCTCCTCTCACCACCGCCCCCGGAGAACTTTGGTTTGTCTTTTCTCTCCTCACCTTCATCCGTTCCCTTCTTCTCTCGAAAAGGTGCCAGCCCGACCTCCCCAATTCCTGGACGAGAGGGTCGCCGAGGTCAAGAGAAGGTGTGTATGCCTATCGTCAACGTTTCCCCCCCAGCCAGTTTATCTGATATTGCGCACACTTGCCATTACCCTCCACACTTGTGTCTTGCCTCACACATATTGTCTGCGCAACTTGAACTGACTTTTCTGCGTTAGAGCTGAGAGTCGAGTCCTTTCCTGACAACAGAGAGCTATCGAAGCGTCTTTCGTGCGTGTGTGTGTATTCTATGCGTTCGTCCATGCATATCACCAATTCAAACAACAACCTCGCCGATTACGTCCTGCCGATAACCATTCGATCTTTACTCTGATATTTCTTTGCGTTCGTCTGTTACGCCCGGTACGAGCTTATGCTGTACCAAATTCTTCCCAATCACAGAGTTCCAGCAAACCCAAGGTTTTAGTCACCCTTCTGTGTGAAGCCTCTACAGCAGAAGAGATTTGAGAAACCATACGTCAACTGATACCGACGACACTTCTCGCAACAGCCCCGTTGTCAATTCGATCCACCAACACAAGTGAGACCAAACTCCAGAAATCAATTGGCTCCGTGTAACCTGGTTTTTCCCTCACATCCACCCGTTGGATACTTGCGCCTTGATCCAAAAGCACCGTTGGGTCACTTCTTTCCAGGCATTCAAGCCGATATAAGTGGCTTGGTCCTGATCTCGACCCTCCAACGCCCATAGCGGCTTTCCCAAACAGGCCGTGAAGCTGGATTTACCACCGATTTCCCACCAAGCCCGGGGAGCCAACGAAGTGCCATCGTATTACGGTGCTGCTGCGGTTCCGCGCCCACCGTATGTAAGTGAGAAGCTGCCTTCACTACCCTTACCGCAGCCTACTTTGGCATACTCATCGGGTACTTCCTCTCCCCGGGTAAGCTCCATTGGGTCATCAGTCAGTTCCAACGGCGATTCTCAATCCTCGTTCACTTCAGCTCCTTCATCGAACGGTCCCAAGACTCCTTCCCCGAATCTTCCAGTTTCGACAGCTGTTTCTGCTCCTCCTCAAACAGTCGGTGGTTACGATCAATATTCAGCAATGAATCCTGGACCGCCAGACATGTATTACCCAGCCCCACACATGTCTGCAGGTCCGGCACCGCAACCACAGACCGTGACATCAAACACTTTACCGCAATATGGCCATCAGCAACCAACTTTGTTGCAGCCAGGACCGGCGCAGTACTCGGCCCCTCCTTATCCGCAGTACGGTTATGCCAATGGCTTGACATCTCCACAATCAGCACCACCCGCAGTGTCCAATTCGATGAATGGACCAGTACTCCCCCTCCCAGGTGCCCCCCATCAGCCCGGAATGCAAAATCAATACCAGGGATTCGACACGACGGGCCAAATTGCACCCCCTGGCATGAAGCCTCGAGTGACTGCAACGCTTTGGGAGGATGAAGGCAGTCTTTGTTTCCAGGTAGAAGCGCGGGGGATATGTGTGGCACGTCGCGAAGGTATGAAGTGCTGACGGGACTTTTATTTTGGTGAATGTCTCTAATTGTTCGAGCGCAGATAACCACATGATCAACGGTACAAAGTTACTGAATGTCGCGGGGATGACGCGCGGCAGACGGGATGGTATCTTAAAAAGCGAGAAGGTCCGTCATGTTGTTAAGATTGGGCCTATGCACCTGAAGGGCGTCTGGTAAGTGGGAAATTCGATGATGTGCTGTTAAGTCGACCCAGTTAACCTTGCTCAGGATACCTTTCGAAAGGGCTCTTGATTTTGCAAACAAAGAGAAAATCACGGAATTGTTGTACCCGCTCTTCGTGCACAACATTGGGGCTCTTTTGTATCATCCTACAAACCAGAATAGGACGAACCAGGTCATGGCTGCTGCTGAGCGACGAAAGCAGGAACAACAAAACCAGATGAGGAATGGTCCTGGTCCTGGCCCAACACCTCCTGGCGGTGTTTTACCATCAATACAACAGCATCATCACCACATGGGCCTTCCCGGACCACCCCAGCCAGCGCTGCCGTCCCACAGCAGCGGTGGGCGGCCTTCGCTTGATAGGGCTCACACCTTTCCAACCCCGCCAACGAGTGCGTCTAGTGTAATGGGTAGCATGGGTGCGTCGGATAACTTCCAATGGAGCCAACAAGGCATGAACGGTGCACAGGGAGCCAACCCAATGTCCATTGATACGGGACTAAGCAACAATGCGCGATCGATGCCGGCGACTCCAGCCACAACTCCCCCGGGTAACTCGCTGCAGAGTATGCAGCCTTATCCTCAGGGCACTCAACCCTACGATAGCACTCGTGGGGTGTATGCTTCCACCCAACAGTCCCCATACCAACCTTCTCACAATAGCCCTCAAGACAGAAACATCTATGGTCAGCAAAATCCATATATGAAGAGCGAGATGGGGCCTCCATCAGGGCGCCCTGCTGGCACTGGACCCCACGACGCATCGGATGTCAAGCCTACCAATGGATTACTGCAGCATGGGGACTCGGTATCTCATGCGGCCAATGAAGAAGAGGCCGAGCACGAGGCTGAATATACTCACGACAGCGGTGGCGCTTACGATACGAACCGAGCTGCATATAATTACAATGCTCCTCCAGTTGCTTCGATGACAGGGGATCATCCACATTTGTCTTCGGATATGACGGGCTCTCCTAATCATCAAGCAGGTTCCGGAAGGGCTACTCCTCGAACTGCTGCGCCTACTCAGCCGTACTATTCGCAGCAGACAGGATATAGCACACCGCCCCGAGTTCCACCCTCGTCAAGCAATCTCTATAGTGTCATGAGTAACGACAGAGGGACCACGAATGGTGCGCCGCCTACTGATGTGTACGGCTCTCAGAATGGCATGGGCGCGCCGATGTCCAATGGTTATGATACACAGCCTGTGTTGAATGGGGCGCCGCCCTTGAAGAGGACTAGAGACGACGAGGATGGAACGGGAAGCGGAATGGATCTGAAGCGTCGAAAAACGATGATAGACGGTCTCCCTACCCCCTCCTATGATACCATGGCCCGACCCGCTTCTGCCGTGGCACGACGAAGATGATTGCAGGTTATATGTCTGGCTGCTCGTCGACCAAGATCTGTCCTAATCACGCATTAATTCAAGTGTTACAGCATTTGAGGGCGAGACATATCTCTCCCAGATGAGAACCTGTTGCGAGAGAGTGGGCGGATTATTGCCCACAGGCGCACCCTCATTGTCTTCTCCACACTTTTTTGTACTCGTTGCAACGACTCATCATCGGCATACTCCTACCGACCGCTACCAAGACACGATGACGAAAATCACGATTTGCTTCTTACCTGTTATTAAACGCCGCTCAAGGCCGTGTAACTGCCTCACGATTTGATGCGTCGCACGGTGGACCTTAATTTTCAAGTTGAGAATTATATTCTCTACAAGCTTTATGCTGAGCACATGAGAAACTCGATCAATGGGAAAAGTCCCCACCTATTACGACTTCTAGGCGGGTAATGTTCATGACTGAGGCAACTTTGCTTTTTCTACTCATCACATCCTCCAGTCTGAGATAAGACATGACGGAGGCACACATTTTTTCCTAGTTTTACGACATGATGAATGACTTTTTCTTCTTACATGACAAAAGGTGTGGTTGCAGGGCGTGTGTTGGAAATGTCCCTTCTGGTATCATGGTCACGAATGCGACGATGGAAAAGCTGTTCATTGCTTGCTTGATAAACAGTAAATTTAGATACTGACGCAACTACATACAATTGACCAGGCCAAATGTGTTCCATTTTCCCATCCGGTTGTGAGGACATTTTGAGATGCCATCCTGTTGTCCCAATTTACAATTGACGCTCCTCTAAACCAAGGTTCGAATGCATGTTTGCAAAACGGAAAAAGGTATGCTCACCTTGAATGACGAGCGGTATGTAATTTGAGGCTAGCTGACTTTCTCGCTGCATGTCAACATTGCAGGGTGATGTGTAACTATGTATCTGGGTACATAAGGTACTATCTTGAGATTTGTCGTACGAGAAGCTCTTTTCCCCAGCGTAAATTCCCTGTGTAGAAGCTACCCAAGGTATCATGCCTAGTGAACTAGTTTCAACTTAAAAAGATTATGGTCAATTTGATATGCAATCGTTGCACATAGACTGAAATAGCGAATCGCCAACCAGGGAGGGTCCAATGCTTAGAATCGATACACAAAAAACAAAGGCTGCTAGCCGTTCAAAAACACATAGACACCCCAATTGAGGGAATTTTCAGATAAAACTTTTTTATTGCTATCTGCAGGGTTCGAACCTGCGCATCTTTCGATAGCAGAAGTATGCATGGGATCTGCTTAAGTCTGCCGCCTTAACCACTCGGCCAAGATAGCTATGTCGGTCCGCCTCTTAATAGTGTATATACCTGCAAGCCAAATCAGCATTCACTAAGCCTGCATGAACCGCATTTCGTAATATCAATGTGGTCTACCGTCAGGCACAATAATGACGTGTGTACAGAATAGCAGCAACCATTGAAGGCTGCTTGAGTCTAAGAGCTGAAGCTGTACTACACAGAAATCTCACGCCCCAAATATCTTGATTTTACCCGGTGCCATTGCACTCTGCCAGCTTCCATAGATTTCGTACTGTGAACCATTCCAGCAGGCCTCGCCCATCATTTTACAAGCGCGGTATCTGGAAAACGGCAAGGCGCTTCGACTGATCTTTAGCCGTCATGCTGATAGGCAGCTAGGCGAGCTCTTACCGCGTGGATAGAAGAATTAAGTATCTTAAATAAAGTACATCACACACGGCTCCGATCGCACTGCCTGTGGCGCGGCACCTGAGTGCGTAAATGCGTAGGAAGGAGGTAAAGAAAGACTTGCACCCACCAAAGGGGCATGCCGGGGGAGCCATACGTGCGAGACGTAGTCGGCACCGGACGGCAGGCGCATTCCCCGCCCAAGGGTTGTCTAGGCTGTTGACGGTTACAAGTGTGACGCTGCTGCGATATGCGGCGGCCCGACCTGGTGGCACGTCAGGCGCCTGTCTCGCGGCGGGAGTGGGTGGGCTGGGAGCAAGTTGAAGTGAAGGTCCGGCATGACCGGGGGGGAGGGGGGGTCGAACGACGAAAGCGACGATCCCCTGTCTGGGAATCTGGGCAGCACCACTCTGCCATAGGTGGCGACAGGTATGGTGATGTGGTACCGTGGACGTGTTTCGGTCGTCGGATGGAGGGGGGGGGGGGGCGTTGTTGTCGTGGAATATCGCGATGGCAAAGCCCGCTGAGGTGACGCCAGGCGCGCACGCCCCTATGATTGCGTCCGGGACTAACAGACGATCGCGGGGAGATCCGAGTCGAGGCGTCCCTGACGATGGCGAATCCCTATGGACTTGGACATGCGAGCGAGATGCCGTCATGCATATCTGAGTGCCGCTCGGTGCAGCTGCCGGGTGCTGTGCACGCGCACATCACGCAACAATCTCATACGTACTTCGACTGCCTAGCTACCTACTTGTGGCCTATCTTCGCCCCTCGAAGATACTGAGGGTGTAGTAAGAGAGTCAGTCGTCCAACCTAGCACGTTCAATACCGGCTCGACTTTGCAGATCAGCCACACGTACTACCTAGGTACGCACCATGCATCGCGAACATACCATAGCACGACCGCGACGACAACGACAACCATTGCAAGCCAATCCAGAGCCGTCTGAGCTTTCCTGCCACCTCATTATCATTGCGTTCCTTACCTCGTCCCCAGGTGAACAATAGCTGGGCCACCGTAGCACCGAGTCTTCTCCTACCCGTGAGAAGCGGGACTTGGTGCATCTCTTCTTCTCCATCATGGAGCCTCGCCGTGTTGTTTGCATCCTGTCCCATGCTACGCGAGGAGCTTAGCAAGTAGTGACCACGATTGTCCCCAAAGCGGTCGGGTTAGGGGCTGGGAAGACTATTCTTGTGCCGTGATTCGCGGCCTACGTGAAGATGTCCGGTCCTACCTACCATCTGGACGTTGCTCATCGAGATGGCATATTCTTTCCGCCGTGTGTAAGTCTGGGCAAATATACAGATGAACTATGTATGTAACGAGCTGACGAACTGGTAGGGATGGTTTAACCTCCGACGATGGGGGGCGCGAGGCTGGGGCGGGTTGTTTGCCTGCCTAGTATTCAGGCATCGACGAATGAATTGTTGGTGGCCAGGATGGGACGGTTGGACGACCGGTTTGAGGCTTGGTCACGCCTGTCGTGTTTGCTTACCCCGTGTCATTTGTCGTGTCTCGGGATACGGGGTCACGAATGGACGTCAAAACCTCGAATACTCCTTCATCTAAGTACCAGACAGGGCTGAGGATTCTATGACGAACAGGTTCGTCGGTACATCAAGTTCTTAATCTTAATGACCTTGTCGGGGGCGGAGGGCGTGATCCTATACGATTCAAGGATCTTTATAATGCGGAATAGCGTACACGCCCAGCTTTTCCCATCATCGCGAACGACCAAGTTGGTCATGGGCTCCCTGAAATTCGGAGACAAGGCCCAGATATGGGACTGGAGACATTTACCGTGCTATTGCAATTAGGTGTCGCCTCTTATGGAACTTATCGAGCTTTGTAGACATGCGCTGCATTGGCTCTTTCTAAACCAGTCAGAGCCTGAATGTCAGAAAGAGATAATCATCTCGTTTACCCACGAGATAGCTAGGACCATTCTTCCTACGTGAGGCGTAGAGAAGACGTCTCGCCCAACTTTCCCACTGGCCTTGAGTTTACAGTCACCATGGTCTTCAATATTGAGAATCCTCCCTCAAATCCCGGACTTGGCTCACAGAACGAGCTAGAAAGCCTCTGCCAGGATTTGTGCGGTTTTTTATTCGAAAGTTAGCCCCCCAAAAGTTAGCCAAAATGAAAAGGCGTGGTGCCTGGATCCGTTGAATTTGATAGGGTTGCTCTCTTGAGTCAGACCCAATTGTGCCGTTAGGATGAAGTGAATCATACCTAGAGCCGCCAACTTCCAAAAGCAGTTACCTGGATATCAAGGCCACACTGTGCGCGCCCTTTGGTCTTCTAGGTTTTCTCCTCGCTGGCATTAACCGCGTTGCGTTACGCCAAGGCCGAGAGACTCAAGAGAGGCTTTGTAATGAAGAGACGCTAATCCGTGTTGCCAAAAGCTTGGCCAACCTCTATCCTTACGTACCTCGTCTAGCACTTATTGAAACAGAGGCACTCATGGCTCCAGAAGATGAACACAAGCCCGAGTGTCTGCGAAAGGATGTATACTTGTATCACCTACCTAGACCTACATTGGTAGGCATTTCAGTGATTAAGAGGACATCCTTACCTGTATTGCTCTATCATACAAGTGTGTTCTGGGGATAACCAGGCTGATTCGCACGTTTGTGAAGGGAAACCCAAGAGGAATCAACTGGGCGCCTATGATAGCATCCTGTAGACTCACTACCTGCTTGAAGAGCCTGAATCACTGACGTAAAGCGCCTGCTTTGTGTTGTATATTAGCTAAATCGCAGCCATGGGTATCTCTTGCAGTCAATTGCGCCTGCTGCTATAAGCATGCTCTCGTGTCTAAACTACCTGAAGAAAGAATCAAAAGCTTCCCAGTTGCATGGATCTCCCAGGAAAGGAGGTATATGCAATGTGTTGAACACCGGCCTCTAAAATTGTAGAGATCATCCGCATGTTTCGGCAGATTGATATTGGTATTTGCATGCAGTGACTGGTGGTGCTGCGTAAAGAGCGACAATGTGGCTATGGCCCTGTCTCGTCCTTGGTCATCATCTTCGAGGCAGCATCTTGTGTGAGAAATTATGCTCTGTCAGACCAGGTGAGCATTCACTCAGATGTTTCCTCGTCCTTCTCGTCCTCTTCTTCATCGCTAGTGGCCTCGATGTTTGACTTCTTAGGCGCCTTCTCTTTCTTCACTGTGGTCGAGGACTTCGTCTCGGCCATAACGGAAGAGATATCGGAGGTTTCGAAGCCTTTTTTACTCAGCGCGGCGTTGATTGCAGGGATAGCCTCGAGGAAAGCGTTGTATTGCTCCGGGGTGATCGTGATACCCTTCTTGCCCGGCTTCATATCGCCGGAAGCGTCGGTATAGTACTCGCGGATGTTGACAAAGGTTTTGCCCTTAAAGTCAGAGATTGTGACTCGACGATTGTTGCTCAGCTATATAAGGCGAGATGAATCAGCTTTGGGCCCAAGTACAATGGCAGGCCCATTGTTGTGTATGCGCATATAGACTTACGGCCCAGAATGAATTGCCCTCGGCATCTTTGCCAGAGTTAGAGTCGGTCTTGGGCTTCTTAGATTTCTTTTTGGAGGATGCGGCGCCTCCGTCGTCACTAGAAACGTCCTCCTCGTACTCATCGAGGGGACGTCTGGCACGTTTGGTCCCAGCCATTGCGATGTTGAGAATACTGGATCAACTGAGTGAATGGTGCGCAATAAGTATGGGGTTTAGTGTTGAATGGGATCCTGTAATGAGTTCTCAAGATACCGATACCTAGGTATCTAGTGTTGAGGAGAAAAGAGAGGTGAGTGATAGCCACAATGCCTTGGATTACCACACCTTCTTTCTTAATTGAAGCTGGAATGGCGATGGATGTGGGGGCGGACGCGTTCAGAGTGCAGTGAGGTCATGAGAGACGCGACGGGTATGCGTGGAGAGCATCGACCCGGTCTGGACCATTTAATGGACGGCGCGCACCTACCGCGCAGGCAGCGCGGGCATCCGCCTTAGTAACCGCTGGCTACTTTAACAAGTACCTAAGGAAGGCACCTACGAAAAACCTCCGCGACCGCCGATCGACGGGCCAGCCCAGAGACCAGAGAGAGCTTGGGCCTGTTCGCCAAAGTTGATTTCATTACAGCGCATTGATGGGCCATAGCACTATTTTAAGCGCTGGGGAAACAGGGGGCAGTTTCTGGTTTCTAGGTCTCCTCGATGCTGCCCCAAGTGCCAGCACAAGGCCTTAGCTCTCCAACTAATCAGGGGCCCTCAGATTGTGACGGCTTGTCTTACCTGATCTCACCCTTTTTGCTACTTGGACTAGTGCAGGCGTGCTTGGTGTGCTTGGTGTGCTAGCAGACCCCTGACCATTTCTAAATTGATCATCTTCAATCCTGGCCAGCCTGCTCAGCCTACCCAGCAACGAAACGCCCATGCTGACACGAAACGTTCGATCGCTTGTTCTCTGCAGTCTTCAATCTGTCAATTCCAAAGCGCTTCTTCAAATTGCTTTCTCTTCGACCCGTGATAGTTGAAATTTCCGTCGCATATTGTTTCCCTAGCCATAGTATACGGTAGTCTTTGATATGTGTTCATCATCATCCTACCCTTTTTCGTAAATCGGGATCCCGTTAAAACACCAATG